TGGTTTCTAATAAACTTAGGCTTTGTTAACTTGTTTATAATTTTTTTGCATGTAGAGCTTATGTTCAGTATTGTGAGGGATTGATGCTTACAAGGAAAGGGGAGAAATCTGTGAAACAAAAACAGTGCTGTTGTCAAAAATACTTTTTGGAACAGTTAACATCATAAAAGTTGAAAGCATTTATATTTGAACAAAATGTTATTGCACATTTAATTTTTTTCCTGCTTGTAGCAAATGAGTGGGTGCAATATAATGCTGTGAGTGCAGAGATTTGTGCTCTGTTGTTTTAGCATGAAGGTGATTCCAGTAAATGCATTATGATCCTGATCTGCCCATGACAGAGGGACTAAAACTCCCTGCACTTTCTTTATTCCTTTGGCTCTTTTCATAAACAGGAGGAAGAGGTATGAATGAGGATGATATTTCACATTTTTAGGTCTATCAGATCTTTTAGTAGATTGTTTCTGCTGGACTATACAGACCTTAGAGAAAACAAAGACAGCAAAGAAGAAATTCCCAAGACAAATCTGTCACTCCTTAAAGAAGCACTAATAATAGAACTATTTGCTGTGAAATTGCAATTGCCATGCCTACATTCCACATAGCAGGTCTGTTTTCTCACTCCTCCTTTGCAATGCTAGAGCTGAGGATCAAAATGACATAAAATTGATATTTACCTCTTCTGCAGTTAGGGTCAGGTAGCAGATGCTAGAGATGACATTTTGACCAGAAGAAGAGAATCGTCATCAGAGGTTTGGCCTCCCTGCTGGAGATGTGAGCATCTGCCAGCACAGAAGTTAGTAAAACCTGAGAAAACATGTTTAATTAGATATCAATCTTTGTAACCAATCTATGCTTGCTACTGACCTTTCTAAGGATAAAGCACATGTTACATTTACCGAATCAATTTTCACTTTAAACAGCCATAGACAACCATAAACAAATTTTGTTGGTAGGCCAAAATGGGATTCTCATGTTACAGGAAAGCAGCACTCCTCAGAGTGAGGGAAGGTGTGAAAGGAGTGCCATCTTCCCTTTAGGACCTGAAGGTACTCTTAATTACATGTAATGGATAATATGTTTTTTGAATTTAAAGTGCTTTTGGTCTTGAAGAAGAATTTTGATCAAAATACAGGAAAATCTGGTGATAACTGGATCCCAAACTCTGCTTGTGGTTATTTTTGGGTACAATTTTAGTTCCACCCTTTGCTTCAGGACTTGCTCCAACAGGTACTTAACAGTGAAGCTGAACCCTGGGATAACCAGGCAGCAGTCTAAGAGGAATTCTCATCTTCTTATCAGTAGTAGCGGCTTATGCAGATTTCTTCTTTGCCTCCCACCTCTGTCCCTGCACACACCCTTAGTTGTTTAGGGTGCTCCCTGCTGCAAATATGAAAAGTAACCTCATTAAGAAACTAGATTCTTTTTTCTCTGTTCTGTTTGTTGTTGTTGTTGTTTTCCCTAGCCAGTTCAGTTCTGTTTTACCACATGGCTACAGAGTTGGCTGTACCATCCTAGAACCTGTCAGTATATGTTACATACTTCTCACCATTTTCACAGGTTTGCTGAAAGCATTTTAATCATAAAATCATATCTGATTTTAAAGATCCAGAAAGAATTAAGGTTTGGGAAAAAAAAAAAAAAAAAAAAAGGTCAACAAGTCCTGAACTTTTGTTTTGATGTTGATCTGAATGAATCAGGAGCCAAAACATAATCTTTGCATCAGTTTTCCCGGTTTTGAGAAGGAAACAATGCACATCCTCATGCTGCCAAACTGACAAAGACAGCGTTACAAAAACAGAAAATGCTAAATAAATAGAAAAGGATCTTGGTTTTTGTTGCAGCTTTTTTTTTCTGTAAGTCAGCAGTTTCTAACAGAGGCCAACTGCTCCTGGAGGAGATAAGACTGGTACAGCCATTATTTGCTACAGGAGCTTCAGAAGCAAGGTTGTGCTTTTAATGCAGCTTCAGCATAATGGCCTTAATGGCCTCTTTATGCACTAAACTCTGATTGTTTCAAAAGAAGGCCCAGATTTTGCATTTATTCACACTACGGATCCATACTTAGTGGAGGGTTGTTATTGACTTGAAAGTCCTGCTAATGTGAGTGTTGGTAAGTCTAATTAACAGACTCAATGAAAATTCTTACAGAAGTATATTTCTGACAGAATTGTTTTAGCTGAGTGGCTGCAGTTTCTTGCAGCAAACCAAATTCCTGTCTTCTAGCATCCAGTTCACTAATCTGATATTGCAGGCTGTCATTTTTTAATGTTAGGTTTATTTGCCTGTCAATCTAAAAAGATTTATGTGAGGTCTTAGGAATCGAGAGAATGACTTAAAAGGGCATCTCTATTTGAAGCAGCAGTCTGAGTATACATTGCACATGCAAAAGTATTAACTTTTATGGTGAATATGGACAAATGTGACACTACTGTGAATTCTACAGACTACAGAGTACAGGGGCTATAGACGTGACCAGTTATGACCTCAGAAGTTACTGAAAGTAGAAGGTCTTTCTTCAGGGGTGCTGTATGCCTTGAGAGATGGCAATTTCCCCTCTGAGGTAATAGGAATTTAAATATATTCTCTATGTGATTGTAAAGAACACAACACCTTGTGCTGTTCAGTGATGTCTAGTACTTTGCTGTGAGGTCAGTATTCACAGTGGCAGTCAACAGCCACTGCAGGTAGTGGCTTTTGAAGAAAAGGTCATGTTTTTCAATAGCCTCATTCTGACTGAAAGCCTGAAAGCTTCTTGGAACTTCTATATCTCTGCAGTATAAAATCAGAATTAAATGGGAAACAGAGTTTGACAGATAGATACACAGTCTGCAAAAATCTCTTCAGGATGCCAATTCCCGTTTATTTGAGACCCAGGGAGAAATCCTAGCCCAGCAGAAGTTGGTTTGAGTTTTTCATTGACTTCAATGGATTCAAGATTTATCCATGACACTCTAAGAATAAAATCTCTGAAGTCCACCTCTCTATAGGTGCTCTGGGAGTTCATTGTTACCGTAATGGAAGTCAGCGCTCCCCCCACAGTGCTGAGAAAAAAGCGTTCCAGCTGGGTAAGAGTCAGACCTGATAATTAGGGATTGTCAGACAGATGGAGCTGCGGTCAAAACGAAACAGGAGGTATTTATTACAGAAAGCAGCCCCTGTTACACACTGACTTGTTTCATAAAGCCTGAATTCCAGATTTGTTTCATTCTTTTTAAGCAATTCTGCCTTCCCTGTTCGGAATACCATACAGTGGTGGGATTCATCTCACCTATCTTTATAGCATCATAGTGTCAGTCCATGCTGGTCACCTGGGTTGCCTTTTCCTTTATGGAGCACGTTAGGCACTTCTGAAGTACAGTTCACCTGGCCAATTTCACATAAAGCAAGAGGCTAAATGTCTGTTTTAAAGTCAGGTGGCAATAAAATACCCATTCAGAGTGATAGGAAATCTGTAGCAGAATTCATCTTTCCCAGAGATATTTTGGCAGAAGATTTCATTCAAGTCCTTACAGTCCAAGTCACCCAGATGACCAGAGATGGCTGGGTCTTTGTCTTATTGACTATGTTGTCCCAGCCTGGAACTTTGTTTCCTTAGAACACAGATCTGAAAAGGATCAGAAAACCAAAGCGTAGGAAACCCAAGAATTTCAAATTCTGAAAAGAATGCTTTGACCCCAAATGAAGAGGCTTACATAGAATTTTAGCTAAAAATAAACTCTCTTTCATATGCATATGAAGGAATCTAAAAAAAAAAAACTCAGACAGATATTCTGAAAATTAAATGCTTTAGTATTTAAAAAAAAAAAATGGGTTTAGCCACTTTTTAAAAATGTATTTTGTTTCTATGTGTTGTTCCTGCTGACCTCACTGGAGCTTCAGAGCTGCTAATATCCAAGCCACATTGTCAAATTAGCAATCAACCTTTCTTATCTACAGGAGCCAATCCAGTGGGTACCTCAGGATCATATAATAATCCATCCATAAAGGAACAGTGAAGACTTGTAATACGAGTTTCATTACCATTATTCTCAGCGGTGACTCAGATATCAAAGTAGCTACTTTCACAAATGCTAAATCCTGAAAGAGGCCCACCCTGTAACCCTCAATTTTCTAGTGCTTGCACTACTGGTGTGTTCTTCAAAGTCAGAATTTTGAATACACAGAGTACTTCAGATTAGCTGTCAGCTCCCCAGAAGAGTTCTCTATGAGCGTTGCTGTTGGCCAGACAAGGATATGGGGAACAAGGGGACTAATTGTGTGTCATTTCCTTTGGAAAGGCAGATCGGCCAAGCAAGAGGCTGTGTATTCCCAGAGTTCCCAACTGACAGCTCTTAGTGAAAGCAGACAGCACCCTTATGGACTTGTTAGGTTCTGGTGCAGTCTGGCTAAGCAGACAGGATGGCTCCTGCTTGGTTTTTGTACATACCTTTTCATGCATTTCCATGCAGCACAAGGTTGAGCTCCCAGCTCAAGCCTGGGGAACTGCAGTGCGAGACAGAGCATGTTGTGGATTTAATCTTTCTGTGAGCTGAGATTCCTATCTGTGAAACTTAGAAATGAGAAATAATTAGACACTCAACCCATAAAAACTACTGTGGAAAGCTTCTAACATTTTACACAAACTCTCCAAAAAATTTGAAAGCTTAGAAAGTAATAATAAAACCTCTTCAAATAGAAAAAAGCTCATTGTGTCTCACTGTTTCTTGGGCTCAAAGGGAAAATGAGGCTCTTTTCTCTTACTGATGGACAAACCTATTCCGAATCCATTTGCATTCTCAATATCCATATGGAACTGAGGAACATGTTTTAATAGCATCATGTGTAGGAGCTGGTTTTGGAGCCTCGGCTTCTCACCCAAGTTGATCTTTGTAGGTGAGAAAGACAGATTCCTCCACTGACCCCCAAAAATGTGAGGTAGTTCATGTTCCATGGCACTCTTACAAACTGTAAACCTGTTTTCTGATCTTGAAAGTCACTTACTGTTGGCTTTATTAGTTTTCAGTTTCCATTTGGTTGGTATACAAGAGCAGTTACTGCCCTTATTATGGCAGGAGGGTTCCCCAGTACACTGCCTTTCCAGCCCTTCTAGCTAGCTCTCCTCTGCCACTTCTTCGCACCGAGGGACCCAGCCCCTGCCCACTGGGATGAGTGTTGTCCCATCACAGCAGGATACCCAGGAGCTTCTGCTGCCCTCATAGCTCAGAGAGATGGACTAAAGAAAGGTCCAGGAGTTAGCAGGAGGAGGTCATTTTGTTCTCCAGCAACAAAAAGGGAAGAAGATCCTGCATGAAGATCAGGGACATGATAGAAGGTTCTGTACCTTGGAGTCGGGGACAGGGAAGAGAGCGGGAGAAAGACTTTGTGCTCACACACTATAACCCACTGATTCTGTTCATTCTGGTGAGGCCTTCAGCTCTCAAAATCTCTGCTGATCCTTTGCAGGTCCCATTCCCTCACGTTCACCTCCCGGTCTGTGAAAGTCGTTATCTCCTTTCATCCTCTTCTGCTACACGTTGGCTTTTGATTTAGCAGTGAAATGCCGTGAGAGGAGGGGGCAGTCGCTGACTTTCCCCTGGGGACGTAGGGAGCCTTCCACCTTTCCTTCGGCTTTCGGCACCGGCCTCAAACCCGCGAGCGCAGACCGACGGCAGCAGCCGCCCCTGTGCCCGGAGAGCCGCCCCGTTGCCAGTCCGCAGCCCTGCCGTCGCTCAGCGGAAGGCTCCTCCTGCCCGGCCCGGGCTCCGCTTTTGCTTTCGCTCCCCTCAGGCCGCAACGCTCCCGACCCGCAGCCGCGACCTTCGCCACACGGCTGAGGTCCCGCCGCAGACACAAAACCGCACGGCGCGGGAACTTCGATCGTTCCGGAGGAGCGACGCGACCCATCGCGGCTCGCGGCAGCCACGACTTCCGCAGATCGGATCGGGCCGGGCCGGGCCGGGCCGCTCCCCCCCTCTGCGCCTTCCAGGAACCGGGGGGAGTCGGGGAGGCGTTGCCGGCGGGCGCCGTGACGCCGAGCCGCGGGCGCTGCCGGTTGGCGGCCGGCGGAGGGTGTAGCCGGAGGGCGGCCGGCGGTTGGCTGACGCGCGGGCGTCGGCAGGAGGGAGCCGAGCCGAGCCGAGCCGAGCCGGGCCGCCCGCGGCTCCGAGGTAGGTCCTCGCGGCGTGAGCGCGGCCCGCTGCCCGTCCGTCGTCCCGCGGGGCTCCTCGGCACGGCGGCAGGTCGCGGTGCGTCGTGTCGGCGGGCTGCGGGAGGAAGCGCCCGTGGCGTCACCACCCGGTTGGGAACGGGGCTGTCATCGCGCGCCTGGCTGCTGCGTGTCGCTCTTTATTTCTTCCTCTGGTTTTCTCTTCGTTTTTATCGTTCTTTTTCTTCTTCGCCTTGCTCAGTCTGCTTTAATCTGCGTGCGGCCCGAACTTGCGTGAGGGCACGCCGCACCGTTGACCCTCGTTACCGCCCCGCAGCGGTGTGCTGAGCGGTTCCCTCGGCAGCGCCCGCTTCCTGCCCCGCTTCCCCTTGCTTCTGCTCAGCCAGCACGGAGCCTCCCGAGGCTTAGGAATAGAGATTGTACAGGGTTGGGGCAGGAGGACAAAAGGGATTTTCTAAATAAGCGGGATAGCTGAGCTTTGTGTATTTATTTCCATCACTTAAAACTGCTCTGGAAGTGAAATTCGCATCTTTAAAGCCACTATCTTTGAGATCCTTGTCTTTCAATCACCCAAACACCTGAATCCTCTGGCTGCCCGGTGCTGGCATGCAGAACTAGCCATTCACGGCAGAGCTAAACTGCAGCATATGGAATGAAAAAGAGTGGAAATAAAAGGATGATAATCTGCCATGGATCTCTCATAATTAAGTTTTTCCACTTTGCATACACTTTTGTTAGGAAGAAAGCCTGCTGCTCCCAGCCACGTATACACTGCTGAACAAATTGTTACTGCCACTTCTTTATCTTCGTTATCTTCCAGCTTGTGCCATAATTAGCTGAGTAAACATAATGAACCTTGCTCATACACACTGGGCTTTCTCTTCCAACCACCTGGTCACCTGCTGCATTCTGCTTTCTTTCCGTATTGCTTACCGTTGATGGTGCATGCTTTGACAAGCAGCTGGTGTTTGCACATTTATGCTGGCAGATGTATTGGTGTTTTGAAGTTTCTGGCATTTTTTTACGAGCAGAAGTTGTAATTAAGGAGTTGTTATACTGGACATGCTAAAAGCCATCCTTTGCAGTAGTACAACCTTTTTCTATAAGGCCACCTCACCAAGCGGAGATGCACCAAAGTACTTGCTGGCTTGGTGTTATCTGGGAGTGCAAAATTAAATTCCTGTTCTATGAAAGTAGTGTGTAGCTGATTTGTGTTTTACAGCAGATGTTAAAGGAGACCAGAACTTTTGCACTGTTTGAAAGATCTGTCTAGATGTACTATTTTACTGCTTTGTCTCTGCATCACCATCAGGCCTCACCATGCTGCGAGCCTTTAGCCACACAGGCAATAGGTGTGCATTCCGCCCTGCTGGGTGCCGGCACCACCACAAACCCGTGCTGGCTATCAGGAGGGAAGATGTCAGTGCTTGGGAACGCAGAGCTCCACTGGCACCCAGGCATGTCAAGGAGCTGACACAGATGGGTTACAAAGTGCTGGTGCAGCCATCGAACCGGAGAGCCATCCATGAAAAGGTGAGGTCCTATTCTGAGGCAGGTGAGCAAAATCATGGCTCGGTTATTAAGCATAATGCAGGAGAAATAATATTCAAAGGTTGTACATAAGGAAATGTATTACTTGTTATGTTGCTGTATGTGAAGTTACTGTGTCCTAGTGTGGAGAAAAAGCACACTGAAGAGGTGCTGGGTGCTCTTGGGGGAGAGAATTTTCTTTCCTTTGACACTATGAGCTTCAGGACTGAAAATATTTTGGCCTAAGATATCTGAGCCAACAGATGAAAACTGAAATGTAAGTAGGGAATTAATGATCTCTTGCACATATCGCCTTTTAATTAAAGCACAGTGCTGGTTTTCACCGAAGCATGATCACATGAGACACAAGTAAGCTGGAATTTTAATAGATAAGAGAGGGCAAAAATACATTTTTCATATGGAAAAAGCATTCTTTCAGCATGGGCTTTGCCTAATATGCTATAAAATCACATCACCAGGCTTTTTTATCAGATCTTTCTAAACTTCAAAGTATTTCAAAACATTGCAAAGGGCTGTTTGTTATTGTAAAACTGTAAGATAATTGAACACAGTAAAGTACTTTCTTTGTAGTCTGTAGATTTAAGGTGAATTATTTTGTATGTTTTGGCCTCATGTAAACATGGAAATTCAATTTGATACTTCATTTATTAACAAGGTTTCTGATTGTATTATGTGCAGTAACTTGCTTCTACTTTGTAGAATTTTCTGTTTGTGTTCTGAAGTTCCTTTTGTGCTGAGATCTAAATTTTTGTTAAAAAAAATGAACAACCATAAAAAAATTTATTTTTTTTTTTTTTTTTTTTTTGTGTGTAGGACTACATCAAAGCAGGCGGTATTATTCAGGAAGATATTTCTGAGGCTTCTCTGATAGTGGGTGTGAAGAGACCTCCAGAGGGCAAGTTAATCCCTAAGAAGAACTACGCCTTCTTCTCGCACACCATTAAAGCCCAAGAGGCAAACATGCCCCTTTTGGATGAGATTCTGAGACAGGTAAATGCTGTCATAACAAGGACTGGTGGCTGTTAGCAATGGATTCAAACTGAGCTTGATCCTGAAGTCTGGTAGAAGGCTTGCTGCCTCACATGGTTGCTTTCAACATGCATATTTAGCATGATAGCTCATGAGGACTGTTCTCAGGATCCCTTCTTGGAGCTGACTATTTCTCACTCAGGATCTACAGCTTGAACTGCTACTGTGTTTGTGTGCATATGGCAGACAAGTTGTAACCACAGTGTACTTGAGAAATGTTCATGCTGTGTGAGCACAAAGATCTGTGGGCATTATAGATCCTTACTGAGGAAGTCAGCCAATTTGGGCAGAGAAAAGAGCAACTACTTGGCTGGGGATGTGATCTGCAGCAGCTGGAGTTGGCCATTGGGGTGCTCTGTGCCAAGAGTGAACATGAAACGCAGAGGTTCTTTACAATGTGAATTCATATTCCCATCAGCCTATATCAGGAAAGGCATCAAAGGTGTACAAAAAGGTAATTTCTAGGAATGCAATGTGCCACTGACTCTGCATTCACTGAAAATGTTAATACTCAATTTGCTATGTGTTTTCAGGAAGTTCGACTGTTTGACTATGAAAAAATGGTTGATCATAAAGGAATGCGAGTTGTGGCCTTTGGAAAGTGGGCTGGTGTAGCAGGTATAGTGCACAAAGTAAAGGCAGGCTTGAAACAATAACTTCTTGCAATATTCCTGGTTCTGTATGTTTCCTGAAAGTTGGGCTTTGGAATGCATTATAACTGCTATGCTGCTTTTAAGACCTTTTTTTCCTTTCTGTTTCGTGCTGCCTCCTCTTGATGAGACTACAAGTCAAATAGTCCCATGGATTCCTGACAAATCTACTGCGTATACTGAAGTCCCATTCAATCTGTTCAGCTAACCTGAGGCAGCCAATATATCGATGTCAGCTGCACAGACTTTTGAAAGATATCGCAGCTGACAGTTCCGTGGTTTTGAACAACTTCTGTTTGTCAATCTGTTACCCATCTATACTGATTTTTGTGAGGCGTAGTTCTCATTCCTTTCTGCTGAACTGCAATTGTGTTTCTTCAGGAAACTCTGTGTTACATCTTTTTTGGAATCTGGTGGTTTGTATGCACCCACCAGAAGGATATCCAAGTATTAAACCGTGCTGGAATGCATAATCTAGGCCAAGGTCATGGCCTGCTATTGAATTTCTTCTTCCGTGGTGTTATGTACATTTTCTTTATAAAGAAACTATTAAATCACAGGGAAAAGTATTTGGGATGATTTTAGACTTCAGTCATTCTCTGCAGTTTCTAACTGTGCATATTCATAATTAACACAATAGGAATGATCAACATTTTGCATGGATTGGGATTACGATTTTTAGCCCTGGGACATCACACTCCCTTTATGGTAAGAATATATATGTTTTCTTTAGAAAAATGATGTTCAAGCATCATCAGTATTTGAATAAGGAATGATGTCTCTGCGCCTTTGATTTCAGCACATTGGGATGGCACATAACTACAGGAATAGCAGTCAGGCTGTGCAGGCAGTGCGAGACGCTGGATATGAAATTTCACTGGGACTGATGCCAAAGTCAGTTGGGCCTTTGACATTTGTGTTTACAGGCACTGGTAATGTGTCTAAGGTAAGAATTCTGTCTTCAAGCTGAAACATTACATTACTTCTTGGCATTTGATGTGTCAGGTTAAACGTGTTAAGGTGGGTTTATTTTGTTTGCTTGGGCTTCAGGTTTTAATGTATGAGCATCCAACCTTTTGGCTTGCCCACACCACATTCAGTGAAGAGGGATTGCCTAGGGCCATATATATGTAGGTCACTCCAAAAGTAATGCATCCTGTATATTTCTTTGCAAACTACAGCCTATACAAATGAATACAGTTACACTGTTTGATAGAGAAAATTCTCTACTACAAAACACCGTTTTTCAGCATAGTCATCACCATTAGCTGTGCCTTTTCATCAACTATGAACAAGAGCCTGCATGTCACGCCCATTAAAACCTGTATCAATGGAGGTGATCCACTGTCACTGTCACCACTGCTGAAACTCACCACCTACCACCTCAGTGTGCTCACACACATCCACTGGTTGGTCTCCATCAGTGTTCAGCAAGCATCAGTGAATGTCAGTGGGTGCCATTTTTTCTTCATGGAGCAATTCAGTGACACACCTTTGCTCCATATGAACTTCCATGCCAGATGTCATTTGTTGGACTGCCCCTTTGCTGCCATCTGTCACACGGCAACAGCGTGTAACGGGCTGTTGGTGGGAAGGTTCAGCCTCTGCTGCCGTACTACTAGCATCCACCTCTGACATGGGCCAACATAATAAAATAGAAGGCATTACTTCTGGAGCTGCCCTCCAAAATATAAAATAAACATATCTTAATATATAATAATATTAATATACCTATATATAATGTAGATTTATAAAATATATAATATAGTTAATGTGTATAAGTAACAAAACATTTTGATATTTTTTATTACAACATAAAAAAGGAAAGCAACGAAACCACAAAAACAGTGAGATATGTGACCCTGTTTTTGTGAAAGTACTACATCAGGCTGATTCAATTGCAGTGGTTTCCATTCTCAGTGAGCTCATGAGATGTCATTAGCAATTTCTGATGAAATTTCATTTTCCTTTGCTTCATCATTGAACACAGTTGTTCACAAATACACTTACTGCCAAAAAGCGATGATGTGAGTAAGGGGTGACTGTGAAGTGAGAGGTATTTCTCACTGTTAAGAAGGACTTGGGAAAGTCTGGCAGAGAGACATGGTCAGATTTTTGAATTTAACGTCTGACTGCAACTCTGTACACTGCATTTGAAAATTTGCAGGTCGTGTATTTATGCTGACTGAGAATGGAGTTGCAAATAATTACAAAATACTGTCAATCCTTGTAATCTTGGTTATAATCTTCAAACTTGTTCTCAGATTCCTTTATCACAAGGGGAAGCACGGCTACGTGTTTTTTGCTGTTCACAAAACAGGCTATTGGTGCTTAGCCAATGTATCAAAATTCATAAAATTATTTGCCATTACTTGAGTTAGCACTGCACTGTTCCCTCTCCTTGTTCTAGTTTCAGCCTGGATAGGGTTAATAGCGTACTGATGTTTAGTCGTTGCTGAGCAATGGGTGCATGGCCCACTGCTGCCATGATGGCGTGGTGCAGTTTGTGGACTACACTGAAAGCCTTGCCAGCCACGTGCAGCCCTTGAGTCACAGTTGGACGTGCTTGTTTTAATGTGTCAAAGATATTTAGGTACCCTAAACTAAGGTCTTTAGCGTGAGACCGTGCTTGACACAACTAATTATGCTAACTTTGTGCCATGAATAATAGGTTAAACCTTACTCCTCCTTTCTCCTTTTTTGCACATGCATGACTTTTTGTCTCTCGCTCTTCCCTCTGGGCTCACACAGTGTGTTGAATCAGTCCATTAAATTATGGGTAGAGAAATACCTATTCTAATACTTGCTGACTTTTTATGTCTGTTTCGATAACACTGACTTGGCTTACAAGCTGCTGAACTTTGGATTTATTACCCAGGATTTGGGGAAAAAGACTCACCCCCGATTTTGGCAACAAAGATCATTTAACAAGGTTCCAGCTATAAAGGAAAATCACTGCCTGTGACAGACCTTTGTCATTTTATGTATCTCTTTTCTTAAACCCAATGAGCAGTGTTACACTGTCACTATATTCTTTCCTCATTCTGAATTCCACTTTTACTTTACAGGGTGCCCAAGAAATGTTCAATGCCCTGCCATGTGAGTTTGTGGAACCACATGAGTTGAAGGAAGTTTCCCGATCTGGAGGTAGGCTGTGACAATAAATGTGATAAAATACATTCAAACCTATTTTGTCCAAGTATACCAGCTAATTATTGTTGGAATTATTTATTTATTTTTTTTGCTTCAGACCTCAGAAAAGTCTATGGGACAGTGTTAAGCCGTCACCATCATCTTGTAAGGAAGCGTGATGGAATGTATGATCCAGCAGATTATGATAAACATCCAGAACTTTACACTTCTCGCTTTAACACTGATGTGAGCATCCTTCTGGTCTTTTATAAAAGATTTTTCACATAAAGTTGGTAGTTACTACTCCGTTGTGTATCTGTTGATTTAATACTCCAGACCAGGAAGCTTCAAGTTCTTCTGTTACTTATATGAGAACATAAGTCTTCTGTAACTTTCTTTGCAGATTGCACCTTACACAACTTGTTTGATTAATGGCATATACTGGGAACAACATACTCCTCGCTTATTAAGTCGACAAGATGCTCAGAAGCTACTGGTGCCAGTTAAATCTGCTGCTAGTGCACCTGAGGGCTGTCCTGAGTTACCACACAAGTAAGACATCTCATTTCAGTTGTAACTGTTCTTCCGTACCATGATTTTTGTAAGCATATGGCTATGTATACTGGTAAGGGAATAGGCTTTTGTCCGTTTGCCCACTGTTGACATGTTTCTTTCTGACACTGAACAAATAAAGAGTTTAAGAGTTAACATTGAGTGGAGGCAGAGGCTCATGAATGTACCACCAGTGCCAGATGTCTGCTGAGAGGAGGTAGCCATCCCATTTCATTTCCTCTTCTGATGATGAAGTTATTGTAGCACAGGATTGCCCAGTGGCTAGTGTAGGGGAACTGGTAGGTGGATGATGAGCAGGACATGTTTGCATCACATCACAGAGAAAAAATGACAAATGAGTGGATTTTTCTGGTTTCTGAAAAGTTATGGTTGCAATTTGGATCCTATTGATACAAATGGACATTTTATGACTACAGTGGCTTCAGGTTTCATTTATATTTCTTGGAGGTAATTGTTTGAGTAATTTGTTTAAAATAGATACAACATTGATAGTTCTCTCTTTTTTTTTTTTTTTTTTTTTTTTTTTTTTGTTTGTTTAATTGTGATCTCTTCCACACATATTTGTTTGTAATTTGGATGCTTTTCTTTTGTTTGATCCCTTTAGACTTTTGGCAATATGTGACATTTCAGCAGACACTGGAGGATCTATAGAATTTATGACAGAGTGTACAACAATTGACAGTCCATTTTGTATGTATGATGCTGATCAGCATATTATTCATGACAGGTGAGATAGCCTTCAGTTCATATTGCATTCCTTTGTACTTTGTACAGTGAAACAACGTATTGAAAATCATCATTGAAAATAATTTGGAAAGATGGGATATTACAAGTATGAAAGAAAAATTGTTTAGAGGAGCTGTATTCTCTCTTTCAGCGTTGAAGGCTCTGGTATTCTGATGTGTTCCATTGATAATCTGCCAGCACAGCTTCCTATAGAAGCAACAGAATACTTTGGTGACATGCTTTTCCCATATATTGAAGAGATGGTAAGATCTTATGTACGCAACGCGAAGGTAAAAACTTGGACTTTGGCCTGCTGGTTTGTTGCTTTTCTGGTCTCCTGTACACATTCAAAAGAAATCTGCTGTAGAACACAACAGACTTTGTTTAAAAAACAAGCTTTCTAAGTCTTGAGGAAATACTTTCAAAAATGAACATGTGAACAAAAAATTAAGAACATGGATATCTTAGGGATGTGCAGAAAAGGTCTCTGTAGGCAGGAAACAGTCTCTGGAAGATGGATTATTGTTTACTGTTATTATTATTGCTGCAGTAGGTTTTGAAAACTAAAGGGTTTTTTGAGCACTCAACAACCCCAATAATACCACTGCTTGAATTTTCACGAAAGTCAAAAGACACTGATCATGGCTGGGGTAATTTTAGATTTAGAAGATACTGACATTGTTGCATGCATTTAAATGTTGCTTAAAATATTTTGATATTTTACTCTGAAAAAAAAAAATACTATGGGAAATAAAACAATCTGATTTGTAAAAACTTATCTTCACAGTTGTTATCAGAAGGCTCAGAACCTCTTGAAAACCAGAATTACTCACCTGTTGTTCGAGATGTAAGTTTTGCAGTTTGGCTGACTGCTTGTCTCCCTCTTCTTTAAAACACAGATACAAAGCTCCTCAAACTTTGTTTCATTTATTTTTAGGCAGTGATCGCATCCAATGGCTCACTGACAGCTAAGTATGAATATATCCAGAAATTGAGGGAGAGCAGGTATTGTATAGCTTCTTAAAGTTTGGTTCAGAATTGTAAATAAACTTGTCTGCATTCTCTTTCCCCTTTGACATTTTATTTTTATCTTGTGTTTTGGTGGACTGCTGCTACATTGCACTCATTGTCTTCTGCCTTGTTGTTCTACTTTGATTTCCTTCTTCCTTGATGCACACTGTCTAAATCATTAAAATCACAGAATCATAGAATGGCTTAGTTGGAAGGGACCTTAAAGATCTTCTAGCTCCAGCCTTCCTGCTGAGGGCAGGCCTGCCGCTCACCAGGTTGGGCTGCTCAGGGCCCTATTCAACCTGGCCTTAAATGCCTCCAGGGACGGGGCATCCACAACTTCTCTGGACAACCAGTGCCAGTGCCTCACCACCCTCTGAGTAAAGAATTTCTCCTCTTTTGTTTTAAAACTATTGCCCTTGTCCTGTCACTATCAGATCTTGTAAAAAGTCTGCTGCTTATAAGCTCTTCTCTTACAAGCCTCGTGCTTATAAGCTCTCCTTAAGTACTGGAAGGCAACAGTGAGGTCTCCTCGGAGCCTTTTCTAAACTGAATAAGTCCAACTTCCTCAACATTTCTTCATAGGAGAGGTGCTCCAGCCCTTTGATCATTTTTGTGGCTTGCTCTGGGCCCACTCCAATAGCTCCACATCCTTCCAGCACTGAGTGCCCCAGACCTGGACTCAGTACTCCAAATGGGGCCTCATGAAGGCAGAGCAAAGGGGGACAATCACCGCCCTCTTCCTGCTTCCTACCACTCTTTTGATGCAGAGATATATCTGATTATTAGTAACTTACACTGAAGTGTCATTTTTCTTTCCTGAAGTGATCAGGACTATTATTTTTTACCAGAGGCAGAAAATAACCATATGCCAGTATTCTTTTGTTCTTCTTTGCCATTTTAAAATGGGTTTGACATGCAGTTCTTTGAAAGGAATGGATAAAGAAGCTGTCTAGTATAGCTTGAATCTAGTTTCCTCAAGTATAGCTCAAGTGCTGTGATGCTTAGCATTGTTCGGTGGGTGGATATGTCCAGGAGCCTCTGTGAGACTCTTTGCCTTTTCATTATATTCCTGTAGCTTTAGCTGCTGCTTCATTCTGACCCTGTTTCAATAGTTACCTGCCAATGATAGCACGAAAGAAGTAGCATGGAGTGGATTAGCTAATAGAAGTATAAATAGATTGGATATCTCTTTCATTCCCCTTCCTCCCTGTCATTAACAAATACATAGAGTTTGCTTATGAAGAAGGTAAATTTGACAGTAAGTGGATACTTGTGCCTTCATGTTCATGGTCAATGCCAGCTGTTCTATGTACTGTATGAGTTGAAAGTGATCTGACCAAAAGCACTGCATGCACCAGCACATACTAAAAGGACAGTGTGTTGACTCGTGCCTGCCAAACTTATCAGACTTCCTTTGGAACTTTGGGAAGTCTGGTTATGGAATTGTGCATGATGAATTATATATAAGTGGTTTTTTCACCCGAAGCAATAATCTGTATGCCTGCCAAAGACTGTGGTTTATTACATTTATTTTTATCTTGTGCTATATACTAGACCACCTCAAGAGGCTGTCTCAGTAACAAATTTTCTTATTCTTTATGCAGCACGGGGATCTGTTTTTTTGGCTTTCTCCATAATCATTTGCATGGTCTTGTGTGAACTACCCTGAGAATCTGGAGACTTCCCAAGGGTTTTCTTTGGGTAGATTTTTGATATTTCTGTAGACCTGTGTGTTGCATGTGATGTTCAGTTGTTCATTGGTGTTGCTCACTTAGTTACCAGAAAATCCAAACCTGCTAACACCACCCTCCCTTTATTTTGCAAACTTAAGAAATAATGCAAATGAAAGTGGGGATGTTTAGCTAAAGGTGTGATGTTTAGCTAAAATAGGTTCTTGTTTAGAGTCTTTAGGAGTTATGTGTCTTCTGTTATTACTCTAACAAAGTATTACGTTGTGTCTAGTGTAGTACCTGAGGGCTCTATTTAGACTAATTGCTTATACCTTTGAATGTCCATGAACATGTCAAACATAGAATAGCCAGGCTGTATCAGCTAAACTGTTCTGGGTGCCATCAGAATGCAGGAAAAGTTTGATTTACTGAACTTTTCTTTATCTTTTCACTTTCACTTGCTTCATACCTGCTACTAATTCATCACCCACAGCTGTAATGGCACATCCCCTTAAGAGTGTGGACTTTTTAAGTATTACTTTTAATTGTTCAGAGATTGACATAGAGCTGGCAATAATCTGAGATATTCATTTCTGGAATTCTATTTCCACTCCTGGTGGGTCATTTGGCAGCTCATGTTTATGCCTGTCCCGGAACAGTTGATCAAATTGGTATCTAATTCTGGACACTGGAAAAGTTTAAAATAAGTGTGATAAGAAATTTGATTGCAAAATTCAGGTTTCTTTAATTTAGAAAGCCTCCCCTTTGTCAGGACTGTTGTTCCAAACTTTGCATGTCACTCCTACTTTCTGTAAATAAACAGTGGAGGGGAGTTCTTAGTTCTTCCTTTGCCCGAAAAAGTGTAGTTGTGGAAGAGGCTGTTCTATTAGAATTGGAAGTGGGAGAAGGAGAGTCCATGGGTTAGTCGTATGAAAGGATATGAGGGCTTGGAACACCTTTTGTGAATAGATTAAATAATAATTTAAATTAAAGAAATAAAAATCTATGAAACTTGTAGGAAGTTCTGCTATGTGCAGTACCCTTTAGTAATGATATATACAGATTAAACTGATGATACAGTGGTGTATCCCATTCAAATTTAATGGTTGAGAGGAGCTATTAAAAACAAAACAAAACAAAACCAAAAAGTAAAGGAAGAGGAAATGGAACATTGGGAATTTTGGAGGTTAATTAAGGCTTTACAAATGCCCACAAGTGGCTGGAGTCTGCTTCAGATAGGTGAGTTTGGTATTGATTTAACTCTGTCCACTCAGAGTAGTCTTTCAGTACTGTTATTTGATGCCTTGTGCCCCTAGATATCCCAGTGTGCTTCATGCCGTGCTTTAGGCCATGCAATACCACTGTTTTTGTCATGCTATTTTGGCATTGCTCTGAGAGGCTGCAACAGCATCTTTCATTATTCTGGGCATTTTCGAACTGAAAAATCACAACTAAAAATTGAGTTAGGGTGCCACGTAGAGTCCCCAAAAGGTCTGAGCCAACTATTATTTAGTGGAAGTGAGGTCGGTCCTCTTTTGAGGACAGTAGCTCAAAGCAGAGTTGGTCAGCCAGAGGTCAGGCTCTCTCTGTGGTATAATCCACAGAGCAGTGCATGCCTACATAAACTCCTGGTAGATAAAGGGGAAATGGAGGAATTTCCATGAAGACTTCTGAAGTTTCCAATAAATCTGTGTCTTGGAAGTTCCTAACTATGAACTGAAATTTGTTCTTAGAGTATACAATAAGAAAAACAAAGCCTCAAATAACCCCATTAATTATGTTAAACAATAGGACGATAAGTAGCTTCCTTTTCTCAAAGAATAAAGCAAACTAACAAATACTGTTATTTACTAAATAGCTTTTAACTGCATAGTGATGAAATTCCTTAAGCAAACATTTTTACATCAGTTTTAATGCAAACTTGAGGTAAAAGGAAATAAATATAAAGAAATGAAATATGTTCTCCTACTGTTATTTATACATTTTTTAGTACATATTTAAGCAATTGCTGACCTACACTATTCTGACTGGCAAAAAGAAATGCAAAATCCAATGTGAACACACTTTTTCTCTAAGTCAATAGAAGAGCTACTTAAATTTATTTAGGAAAATAATATAGAGAGAGTTTTCAAACCTTTTCTTATCTGCAAACATAATTCCTTAATTGGTATTTTCCTAGGTGGCTTTTTTTTTCATCTCTGTATGGTCCCATGATAGATTAATATGAACCTAGTATAACTTAACCAAAATATGCTTTCACCAGTGGAAATTGATGTCCTTCAGCGGTTACCTGAAGGTAACCTGATGTAAAATAATCAAGGCAAAGACTGGGATCCTTTTCTGACAGCCCCATGTGACAGACTGGAAAAATTTGTTGAGCACCCAGTAGCAACTGGAGAAGCAGAGGAGGCATTGATGGATTTGATTTTGGTTGTAACAGTGGAAAGAAACTGGAAGTTACATTGTAGAAGAATGGTAGCTGTAGTAGGCAGTGATGGACCAGTCTTGGGTTAGCTAGCCATGAAGTGACTTGGTCTGAATAGAGCTCTTAGTCTGTAGACTTACTAAAACATGCTTATTCTGTTAGTTCGAGCAGCATACCATTTCTTTCTTCTGTGTGGTTTTTAATTCTGCCTTTAATACCTCCTAGGGAGCACGCCCAGTCACTGAGCATGGGTAATAAGAAGAGGGTTTTAGTGCTCGGCTCTGGCTATGTTTCTGGCCCTGTACTTGAGTATCTCACTAGAGATTCTGATGTCAACATCACCATCGGTATGTAAGACTTCTCTTGTTTTCCACTTAAAAATTGTCTTCTACATGTTGTATGGATTTAGTCCAACCAACTGGTTTGGCTGTTTTTCTCGTAAATAATAAATTAATCTGAGGACTTATAAAACCTTTGCTATTATGCACTACAGAAAAGGGTTTTGTAACTTTCTGAGCACTTTGAGTTAATATAGTTTATTTGAAAATGATACTTATCTGTGAAAAGTTTACTGTTTGCATACATAAACTGTAGAGAAATTAGAAATAAATATTTTTCCTTCCAAGCTGCTTTAAGCTCGTGATTGGTGTTGTTGCTAGCCATGCTGCTTTTGTTACCCTTTGTAGTAGTTACCATAATACTTTTAGCATCTGGTTAAAGACTTCCCAGAAAGAAGAGGTGTACTCTAAGAAAGCTGTTTGCTTGTTATTAGTACTTCCTGAAGTGGCAAACAGGAAAGGATTACAGCAGTGTGCAGCATCCTTTCCTTTACCAGCAGAGAGGCTGCATCAAGTCCCTACAGTACAGTAGTGGTAAGGGAAACCAGGTGAACTGGGGGATCTGTTTTGCCAAGCACCGTGCAAACATAGCAATTCCTCTTACCTGGGCAGTTTCTACAGTATTACTGAAAGAAAAAAAAAAAAAAAGCTTGGAAGTAAAGAGAGACAAAGACATTACTTTTCTAATATTTGACAGCAGGCAGGTAGATGAAGAAAGTGTAAAATGTACCCCGAAGTACCACATTTGGTTTCCTACTATTAGGCTAGACCTCTTTAAATGCAAGTGATTGATGCCTTGAATGAAATCTTTAATTAGAAAACCTTTGTGTAATGAACATTCTTTTTTTTTTTGTTTTGAATTTATAGACTGCTTTGCTTAGCACATGTTGATTAACAGAGTAGGTAGAATTACTCTCTGACAATATTTACTTCTCTTTGACTTTGGAAAGAACATAAGGAAATAAGGCACCAACTTAGAGTCACAGATGCTTTTAATTCTCTGTAAGCCTCTGCCCCACCTGCTGCCTTCATTGCTCACTCCTTTCTCCTGGCTGTGTTCCCATTGCCTTCCTTCTGCTGGCTGCATTGCAAGCCAGGGCAGGGAACCAATTTATTTTAAGTCAGATGTGGCAAATATCTGGCTGCTTTTAACCTGGCTCATTTATTTTAGTTTTACTTTCCTTATAATGGTAAGTGGTGATGGCAGTGCAAGTAAGATAAAAGGAAAAGAACAGACTGAGGTGGAGACTGGATTTCTCTCCTTTATTGATAATATCAGTACATGGATATGGACAGTTTGTAGGGCGAAGCCACGGGTAGATATTGAAACTAGACAGACTGAGTATGGGCCTTTTAGTCATATCTTGCCTATGCAAAAGCTTAATGTTTTCATAATGTTAGAAGTGGTGAATGATGCAAGTTGTTTTTTTTTTAAAGCTGGTTTCAGTTATGAATAAGAATTTTGTTTTAACGTACTGAAATGGTTTTGAAATAGTCCTTCATGCAGATTTATCTGGCTGTGTGGAATGGCAGATAGGGTGGGCTTTTCTAGGTGTGTGATGTGTTTGTCTGCTAAGTCTGCTACTTAGCTGTTTGGAGACTTATGTGTCTCTCAAGACCTTAGAATTAGGGAAGGTTTTCCTCTTTCACTTAAACCCACGTGATAACAAGCAAGTTTTCCTCTTTGGACTTTTTCTGCTTCTGGATTTCTACTCAGCTTCTTGTTTTTCAGTGAAATAATCTGAGCATTTGTGGAAATGGCTACTGCCAGTAAGAACTGTTTGAATACTTCAGCTCTGCATCTATTTGGCTGAGTTAGAGAAGTGACCGTTTTTAAAGCCAGAAGAAAATGTGTGCTGTGTGGTGACTTAAAATGGATTAAGCATCGAGATAAGTTGTTACTCTCATTGAAAACATTTGATTTTCAGCAGGTTGTTACTAATATAAAGCCAGTCTGGGATGCATAATTTTTCCATTGCAGTTTTCCCTTCAGAGTTAGCCCAATATAATATCCCATTAAACTGAGATGAACTAGACATAGCTTTTCTATGGGAGGAAACTCAAAGCAAGAGCAAAAAAAAAAGTACCTGTTTTATTGTAACACTAACACTCCGGACATCTCTAGAATTTCAGATGGTTGTATTGGTACAGAAGAAGGTGACTCATATAGAATAAATAATAATCTTACCATGTGTGGTGTTGGAAAAAATAAAATCAAGACCAAAAACCAGCTCTGCAGCCCAGGCATACAACAGCCCAGCCAAAAGTACCACCAACGCATTCACAGTGCTGGTTTGGAGATGTCCTGCCTACTTCATAGTAACAAAGAAGGATGATGACTTCTAGTTTTATGTGAATAATTTGTATTGACCTGCTGGTAGGTGGAAAGCATCAGCTTAAGTTTCAGTTACTTTTAAGTATATCCACAGTTGTGCTAATTGGTTATAAGACAACACTTTATTTCTGAGAGTATTTTTAGGTTCTTGTTCTTGAGTTGTAGCTGCCATGGCTTGACTCTGGCAATTGATTAAAAAAAAAAAAAAAAAAAAGACTGCTCTACAGGTACTTTATGCCTGTTTTCTCTTCAACTCTTAGTGAAAAGAAAGCATCCGCGCAGCAGCTTCTGTTTGGAGAGAGGGTGGCATATATAAAACACAGTTATACATGGATGTGCTTTGGGCTTGTTTTCATCTTTGAGTAACTTGGTGTTTTGGTTTTAAAACAGCTTCTGTGATGAAGGAACAACTTGAACAGCTGACGAAAAAATACAGCAATGTTACTTCAGTTCATATGGATATTATAAAGGATGAGGAAAAGCTGTCCTCTCTGGTGAAGAAACACAACCTTGTGATCAGGTCAGAATTCTGGGTAAAATAGGGTGAGCTCAACCTGAAGTCATGCTGGTCCTTTCTCCTACTTCACTGACCTAAGCCAGTAAATGGTTACAACTGGCCACTGCCTTCTTGAGTAGTGCATCAGCAAGATGTTGTGAATCATTCAGCTTGCCTATTTAGAAGGTCTTGAAAAGAGGTCTTTTTGGTTGGTTGTTGTTTATTAGGAGAAAAATGGCAGGAAAAAAAACTGTCTGAAGAATTAATTCCATATTATTTTGCATGCTATTCTGAGTCATTTCTCTGATAGGGTAACATTTTACTTGTTACCTAGTAACAAGTAAAGGAACTAGTGAGTGCAAGGCAGGGATGACTTCTCTATTTACTTGAACTTTTTTTGTAGGCACAGAGGAAGTATTAAGGTCTTTCAGTTTTGTCACTGGATTGGATTTTGATTTGCATAATTCTCTTTCAATTTGTAGTTTGCTGCCTTATTCAGTACATCCTTTGGTTGCTAAGAAATGTATCGACAACAAAGTGAACTTGGTAACAGCCAGCTATTTAACACCAGCCATGAAAGAACTCCAGGAGAGGTAGGTATGGGCATCTCTCTGGAATAGCTTCTGACAATGTCTGAAAAGTTTGCAGTGAGTTGTATCTGCAGCCCTTATTGTGAATTACTGTTTTTCTACATTTCTTCCCTTCCTATAAAAGAGGACTAAGTAATTTTCCCCAGAGTTGCACATGGAGACTGTAGCAGAACAAAGTGGAGAGTGAATGCCCTGGTCTGGTCAGGCTACTGCTCTGAACACTGGAATACGTATTTCTGCATGTCCCATTTTATTTCATGTCATTGTGCCTTGCCCTCTCCCCTCAAACCTGTTTTGAAGGAGGAGGTGGACTGTCCTGTTCCACCAGTGACACAAGCTTGATTGCTATCATTCATCTTCCCTTTACAAAAATTCATTCTTGGCTTATTGTATTAAATTGGATTGGTGACAGTTCTGACTATTCCTGTGTTTCTTTTGTTCTACTATATGAGGAAAAGTTGTTTTTGGCGTAGAGCTTCTCTGAGTCACAGTGCTAGAACTCAAGAGTCAATTCAAGTGGGATGGGAATCCATTGTGCAGTTTCTGTAAATGATAAAACAGAAAGCTAGATGCGTAGAGAACCAGTGTTGTAGAAATGAGAGAGGTTAGTGCACCTCTCCTCCCCATCTTGCTGTGATACCAAGAGATCATGTTTCTCTTGCCTAAAAATACCAACACCTTCCTCTCCCTCCCCAACAAACAAAAAAAACCCAGAACACAAAAACGCTCCCTTCTCATTTATTGAAAAACAAAGTGGTGTTTTTTTTTGTTTGTTTGTTTTTTTAATTTGTTTTTTAAATAAAACTTGTGGTGATAACTGAGCTGCTCTGGGAAATAGGCAACTGTTGCTTTGTTTTTTCTTTTTCTTGCTTTTTTGCAAAACTACCACCACAGAAAACCCAAGTGCTTAAAACTTAGGAAAGAAGAGCTTTCTATATCTCTCTGTGGAAGCTATTAGATTAGGGCTGTTGTGTCTATCCCTGTTATGGCTTTTGCATTACTGCCTTCCTGTGTTACAGTACTGTCCAGAAGAGCATGGCATACAAAGTGGTTTTTAGGGATTTCTTTTTTATCATCCTCTAAATCATGTGTGTCCAACCTTTTGCCTTGTCTAGGCTGCATTAAGTGGAGAGGAATTGTCTTGGGATGCGTATAAAATCTAAAATGTAGTTAATGTATATAAGCAACAAAACTTATTTTATTTTTTATTAAAACATAAAAAAGAGAGCAACAAGAACATAACACTAATGGGATATTGTGACCTTATTTTTGTGAAACTAACAGTGAGTCTGCTTCAGTGGACGTTGTTGCGGTCCTTCGCTCTCAAGATGTCTGTCAGAGATTTTTGGATGACATTTTCCACTGCACTCCCCACATCTGGTTTCAGCCCAGACAGTGCCTGTGTTCAGTGGGTGGCTGTGAGCAGTGAGTGCCTGCCTGGGTTGGGCTGCTCAGTGGAGCAGAGCCACTGCTGTGATGGCACAGGGCAGGAAGCAGCTGCAGGGTGATCTGGGCAGGACTGTAAGTGACCCATAGGTTGGACATGCCTACTCTAGATGTTACATTAAAATAAAAGAAAACAAGGCTATCATGATTTCTAAGACATTTACACCCTTTGGATTTTAACATCTGCTTCTGTTTTTTTTCCAATGAACCTCAGACAGAGGACAGAAAAGAGTTTGGGGAAAGTTTTCAGGGTCTCCCTTGGACAGATTTCATGAAAGGCCTGCACAATGTTCTGACATTGTCAATTTCTGCTACTTCTAGTGTAGAGGCTGCTGGTATCACAGTTATCAGTGAAATGGGCTTGGATCCTGGTCTTGACCATATGTTGGCAATGGAATGCATTGACAAGGCAAAGGAAGTTGGTGCTACGGTAAGGTTGGCAGATTGCGTATGCTTCCTCCAGGGCATTATTAGTAAAGCTGTTCCTTTAACACCAGCCCACTTTTGGGCATACCACCAGTCTGTAATGGACTCCATTACACCTTAGTTTTTTCAAATGCTTGGAATTTGGTGTCAACTTATCCAATTTGTGAAAGTCCATCACTTAAGATGTCTTTGCCTCAGGTGCTTTTGCTATTTCATGGGCAATGCAATGAGAAAGATTGATGCTGTTGCTTAGTGAAGTTCTGATTTCTCTTGTCCACTGCAAATCTTGTAATTTGGTCTGGTTGGGAAATAACTTCAATAGAGTTTAAGAACTTAGGGGGATTCTGCAGGATTTCTCTGTACTGTCACCTGTTCCTTGTTTCTCACCTCTGGACGAATCTGACAGGTTGTATCCTACACTTCTTTCTGTGGTGGCCTGCCAGCTCCAGAGCACTCTGATAATCCTCTGAGGTACAAGTTCAGTTGGAGCCCTCAAGGAGTCTTGCTGAATACCGTTCAGTCTGCTACGTATTTAAAAAATGGAGAGGTGAAGTAAATCCTTTTGTTTCCATTTAAAGACAAAGAAGAAGACGCCACGCTCAGGAGGGAATTAGGATTTGTGCTGTGTTTATTCTTAAGTGACTGACAGTTGCCCGAGTTGCAATGTGTTAATTAATCCCATGTTCTGAGTATAATGGTGCCTGTCTGCTGCCAGCTTTTAATTCCTAATGTATAGAATGCCCAAGAAGTGTATGCTAATGACTATAAGGCACTGGCTTGAGGTTCATGTTCTGAGTTCAGCTTCCACAAAGTGCTTTTGCCACCTAATTGCCTGGTATCTCTCTCTTTCAAACAAAAATGAATGTGCATCCTATTTGCTTTTCCATTTGATTGCTTTTGCAAACCAAACAGCTTAATTCTGCACTTGCACAGTGTTATTACATCTGTTTTACAGAAATACCATGATTTGTGCAAAGCTGTTGCAAGCCATTATCACCTGTCTGCTTTCCATTCCTATTTGATCACTCCTGCTTGCTCATTTACTGATCAGGGCTCTTCAAACACCAAGGAGACATCTTGTGTAACCACCTTAAAATTTGGTTAATCATCTAATGAGAAATCTTTTGAGATGTGTTGTAATGATGTTAGTGTAGTAAGAAAAAGTAGAAATTCAGGACTTGTTCATTGGATCTTTGTCAAAAAGCAGCAGCAGATATAACTTTCCAGTTAAAGGGTCTTTTAGAGAATGTGAAAATGTTTCTTAATTTGAAACACATTGCATCCATGTGAATGGTTCATTGGAAGAGCACCGTATGAGCCAGTAAGTTGCACAATTTTTCCTCCTTGCCACTTAAATCTTTAGCTGTCTTTGACTGTTGTGCAGGATTATTCTGCACAAGTGTCTTGTTTAACAGACAGTAAGATCTTACAGTATTGATGAAGACTTGGTTGCTTTAGGCTTTCTTCTAGAAGGAAACCTTGCCTCCTTGTTTTGAAGTAACAAAATGAGTTCATGTCCATGAAAATTGCACTAATGGAAGTGCAATGGGAGCCTGCAACCTTAATACAAGTGCAGCAGGAATTGCTAGAATGTGTTAGCAGGATGTGAGCTGTTCTTGTCCTTTGATTAGTAACAGCTGACATAGTACATGCTCCTCCATCACAGAATATACTTAAATGGCTTCTGCAGCTGCTTTGTTTAGTTGGAGCCTTTGTTTGTGCCAGAAACACTAAGCATAATGTTCTTACTTGGAGCACACTTCATTTTTTCTGTTGTAAATCAAATTGCTACAACAAAGTAATACTGCTGTTCTTTCATAAAACTCAGGTTATCAATATTCCAGCGGGAGGAGCATTGCTTGATTCTGTTACAGCAATGGATTTTTATCCAGGATTAAATTTGGAAGGTTTTCCTAACAGAGACAGTACAAAATATGCTGAACCATATGGAATTCAGACAGCTCACACTTTGTTAAGGGGCACCTTAAGATACAAAGTAAGTTTTGATCATTTTATTGTTGTTATTATTTGAGGAGACGAGTGCTGTCATTTCAGTAAAGCTGTATTTAAAAGGCAGCCCATTTTAGTTTTGTACTTGCTATTTATGAATTCTCTTTGTCTCAGCTGAGAAATAATTGAAAGCATAGTTCTACTTTGTTTATTTAACAGGTGTTGTTGCTGCAAACCAGAAGAGTAACTTTACCCAGTCAGTTAGCTTGCATAGTCTGCATCACTATTTTTTTTTCTGTGGCTTTGTAGTTAGCGTTGGATTGATAGATTAAAAAAAAAATCAGTTTTATGATGCATGTTGTTAGCCTGTATTTTTAAGAATTGATTAACCTCTGAAAGTTGATACAGAATGGAACTTATAAATAATTACTCCTATGAAAAATGTAACAGAAAATCACAGTTTTGCATGAAGAACTTGTTCATTAAGTAACTAGAAATCTTGAATTACAACAGCTTTAACTCGTTAGTCAGAATATTGGAGGTTTTTTTTCTTTCTGATTTCTTTATGTTAGTGGTCAGTGTACACTAAAAGGAAATCTAAGCCCTTAATGAAAACTTGAAAAAAGCTTATGGATATCTACCTTTTAGAGTTAAGGTTTTTGTCGAGGTTTAAGTTCCTTTCTTTTGTGCGTGGCATGAGAAATGTAATGTGTATTTTCCCTGTGTTGCAGTACCCCAGGCTGTTTTTTCTTTATTTATTTCTGGGAGGGAAACAAGTTTGCTTAGCAGAGGACAGAAGACTGATGTGGAGGTTCAAGGGTTACAAATGGCAGTAGGTTACTTTTTGTCAGTCTAGATATGATCTCTTGTTCAGAAGCTAAAAATATGTGGAAGGCATCTGTCTCATGAAGTCTTAATACGACGGTATCTACTCTTCCATTTGGTGCCTGGTAAAATGTTCTTCTTTTGTATAAGAGTTAGAACAAGAGGGGAAATAACAACAACAAAACCATGTCAGGGTGGCATAAAGAGGTTTTCTTGCAGCATAGCTGATAATGATGTTTCTGTGGTTAATGTTGCTTTCCTAATCACCAAAGGAGACCCATGGCTTCAGGGCTGTGGAGGAGCCCCACCTGTGCCGTATTTCCATGCCAGTGTGTACCTGGCCATGTCCTGGCCCTTCTCATATGCTGCTCAGTCATGCAGTGCAGCAGAAGTGATCCATTCAGTGCAGGGGCTGTCATCTCCTCAGTGCCATTCATAGGCTGAGTTCAGGTGGCTAATGGAGTCAGTTTATAAAGAGGTGTCACAGAAGGATCTAACTGCAAGGCCATCTGAGCTAATAACCTTGTGCTGTTTGTTGGAGGGAGCTCTTCATTATAATTAGCCTCTCTAGGGGTGCTTTATATCCATAAGTCTGGTTTTTGATCATGGTTTTAGACACTTGCATATAAGTGTTTCTAGGTATGCAGTAGCTGTGTGGTCCTTGTTACCATTAATGAGAAACAAACAAAGATGAGCGGGAAATGGTTGACTTATTTTATTGTTCAACCTATTGTCCTTTGCAGTTCCTTGTAGATGTCATTAAAGTGCTGTCTTGGTTGTCTCTCTCATGTCCCTGAAGAAAAGATACAGAGGGTTCTTACTTTAAGAACTAGTTTATTTTATATCATTATAATTATACAAGTGTAAAACTGAGGTGAGCCCAATTCAGATTTCGGCTGTCTGTTCTGTTGTTTGTTTAGGGCCCAGGTGGCTGATCTGCCCTGTCTAATGTGCACTGCAATTTGGTCTGGTGCTGACCAGCTTGGCCCTTCAATCTCCTGAACCAGTTCTACTTACCACAAAAATACTGATAGCAGAATAATAATGAATCATTAAAGAGGGTGTAGAAAAAATAGAATGAGAGTTGGAGACCTACGTATTCATCTATCACTGTAACCCCTTTGGAATCGTGTTGTTATAACTGTTTTCCTGTGGGAATAACAGCACGGTCATGATTGTGTCCACCACTACAGCTAAGAAATACCTCAGTTTTAAGTGATTATTGTTTTTAACATATTATTCTTTTATTGCAGGGATACTCTAAAACTATGGGAGGCTTTGTAAAGTTAGGGTTAATTAACCCAGATCCTTCTCCTTTACTAAACTCAACCATGCCACTTCTAACTTGGGTGAGTTTCTCTGATTATTATTTTCTTTTCTCTGTTTGACTGACCATTTCTTTATTTCTAGGCTTGAGTGTCCTTTACAATGGTAATCTTGTACGCTTATGCTGCATTATGGTCGAGGAGAGCACAGGATTTTTCTGAAGATGTTATTATTTTCAGTAAATAACTCCTTCAATATTCTCTAAACCAAAGAATGAAAAAAGTGAAGAGGCTGACTCACGGTTGTCTCTGACTACCATAGAGCGCTGCTCATCTTCCCAGGCTCCAGAGAGCTTTTATGCTGCCATTTCAGCAGTGTGTCTGTTCTGTCAATCATTATCTTAAAATGGGTTAGGAGTGGTTTTTATTTCTTGAGATGGTTTTTGTCCACTTTTCATTTTTAGGATTAACATACACAAGTTTTATGTGCAGAAATTGCTATAGCTTCCAGCCTGTCTAGCTTCAGTGAATAAGGGTACAGTATCATGGAATCTGTAAATTTAAATAGCAGCTCCTTAGTCTCACTGCAAACCTTGCCTCAGCAATATTATTACATATTAGTACTTGTTTCTTTACTTGCCTTATATTTGTAGTTTACTTGTAGATAACATGAGCTTGTCAACAGGCTGTACAATTCTTGCTTGTTTGGAGCTCCTTCTACTATCCATCTTGGTGTGAACGAAGCAAGCAATAACTAGCATCTTGATAACACAAAATGTTCTTCAGACATGGAAAAAAAAAATCATAAAGCTTTTTGGTAATGCTCCCATGATTGTGATAGGCTTGTTCATCTCACTTGTCTGTGCCCTTCCTTTTGTAAAGGGACGGTCTCCATTTCTAGTCCAGCTGAGAGAAATCCTTAAGTTCCTGACATACTGGCTGTCTCAAGGCTGCTTTCCTTTCATTTGAACACCCTCCAACCATTCCTCGTTTATGCATATTTCTAAGTTTATTCAGTGCTGGAGGAGGGGTAAGCCAATACAAGGGATAAGTAGTGTGAGGCAGCTGAACGGTGGGTGCAGAAAGTTTTTGGGGAAAAAACAATACGTATTCTCATTTGCTGTGATTAAAAATCTCAAACTGTCTTTCTTCTTACTTCTCCTGTTTGTGCAGCCTGTCTTCTCAGAAGTAGTGGAAGTTAACTGAGCTTAAGTTCTTGAAACCTTGACTGAAAAGCAGTGGGAACAGATGTCAGACCTTCAGGAGCTTTTTAATTTTCTTTTAATACAGAAAGAGCTCATGTGCAAACTGGTTGAAATTCAGTCTCCTGCTGAGTACTCTGTGCTTAAAGAAGCTGTATTTAACAAGCTGGATAGAGACAAAAGTCAGCTGGAGGCTGTGGAATGGTAAGATGTTTCAGTAATTTTAATTTCTTTTTTCTTTTTTTTTTCTTTAAGAAAAAAAAAGTTGGCAATTTTACCAGTTCTGGTCCATATTGAGTCAATTAAACTGATAAACGTTGAGTAACCTGGAAATCACAAAACTGACACTAAGTTGTTGATGTGCAGTTGTATCTTTAGTCTATCTTTCTTCTGCCAGGCTAGGATTACTGGGAGATGAGCCAGTTCCAGCAGCAGATTCCATTGTGGGGGCTCTTGCAAAGCACATGGAGACAAAGCTGCCATTTGGTATGTGAGAAGTCCTGCTGTCTTTTGTGATTGTCAGTAGGACAAGTCAATTTCTCTTACAGCCTTAATTTCATTAGTTTGTTTATGTTAAAGTTTTCTAATGTCTCATAATGCTCCCTGCTCCATCCACTATTGTTTTCCTTCTCTGTTACATTTTTCATCTCATCTGTATCTTCTATGTTTTATAGTCCCTATCTGAAGTGTAAATTACTTCCCCAAAGTAAGTGGTGTGTATACATAATGCCTTGCTTGTCAGGAGCCTCATCTTGTTAGACTGGAATGCAAGTAATTAATGAATACTTCATGTGCTTTTCTGTTAGGCACTGGGGAGAGAGATATGATTGTTATGAGGAATGAAATAGGTCTCAGGCATCCTTCTGGCCATTTGGAAGACAAATTTATTGATCTGGTTGTCTATGGTGATAGCAATGGATATTCTGCCATGGCCAAAACTGTAGGATACCCGACGGCTATTGCTGCTAAGATGGTTCTAGATGGTAAGTGACAGGTCAGCCTTTGGTAATTGTGCTTCAACCTCTGTATTACCTGCCTGTAGAAAATATGTGGTGTTACTGAAGTATATATCTGTATTATTGTTATTTTTAATTGATCAAACTATTTTTTGTCTTCTTACAGGAATATTTAATCTGCGTGCTTGGATCATTTAATGACAGTTGTTAATTTACTTCTGAATTTGTAGAGATTTTGTTCATTTAATCTTAAGTGTTTCAGTGGTATAGAGGGACCTTTGGTATTATAAATTACAATTGTTGATCTTTGGAAACTATGTCACAGTGAAACAGGTTAAGATATCCTTGTGCTGAACAAACAGTGAGTTCCACTGTTATTTTCCAGACAGATGAGATTTGGGGTTAGGGCATCGTACTGGACATATTCTGTGTGTATATAAACAGACACCTTGCCTAGTTATCATCAAGTAAGCATGAAACAGTGTTGGGGGTGGGTTTTTTGTTCTTTTTTTCTTCTTGTTTTGTGTGGTTTTTTTGTTTGTTTGTTTTTTCTTCTCTTTTGCTTCTAACATCTAGATCTCCATTCCTTTCCTGGCTGGCTGAAATGATCAAAACTTTTTTTTTTTTTTTTTTTTAAGTTCAGATGCTTTTTACCTACCTTTTTATTATAGCTCTGTGAATCAAATTGAAGCTGTGTGTATCACATTGCTATGGGAAAACATACATAATACCACTCCCTGAAAAAGAATATCTATATAATTGCAAATTAATATTTGCTTTTGTATGCTGAACTTGGCTAGCTGACAGACTTGCATCTCAAAAGGGCAGGAGGAGAAAACACAGTGAGAAAAGTTCACAAGTAGAGATAAACACAGATTGTTTACTAGTTACCATTACAAATAAAACATGCTGGATTTGGAGAAAATTAATTTGTTACTGATGAAAATAGCTTTGGCTATTGAGATGCAAAGTAAAATGAGGCCTTTCCCCTTTCTTTAACACGTTTCCTCTCATGTCTCCATACCTCAACTTCTTCCCCTGGCCTTTAGCACTGCAGGGGAATGGGGAACTGGGGGTTGCAGTCAGTCTGTAAGCGTGTCCCCGTTGCTTCTTTCTCTTCAGAATTTCCCCTTGCTACAATGTGGGTTTCCTGCAGGCTGTACAGGACTCTCTCAGCACCTTCTCTTCTTTGTCATGGTCATTCTCTTCCTTTTCCCTCTATTGTGTTCAGAGTTTGTTTCTCATACTTTGTTCCTCACTCTCTGCTGCTATGCAACACTTGAAACCTTTCTTAAATTTACTTTTGCAGAGGCATCACCACTTTGGCTGCTGGGCCCAGCTATTCCCTGTGGCCAAAACGGCCTGTGTCTGGCACAGGGCAGCCCCCACCTCCCTGCTGGCACCTGGACATGCAGTAACTTTAACACTTAATGCATTTTTTTCATTCTTTCTCCTTAATTTCAGGTGAAATAAATACCAAAGGCATGGTTATACCACTGACAAAGAAGATTTATGGACCAATACTGGAGCGTGTTAAGGCAGAAGGCATTACATACAATACTCATAATGTTATCAGACAGTAACTGGAAGCAATGAATTGAATCTGGTTTTGGCACTGTTTGTTTTCCCACACATACAGCTCGAAGATTCTCAATTGGGACCAGTTAAAGACAGGATCTGGTATTTCACACCTAAATGGTGCCTTCTGTAGAATCAATCACCTGACTTTGTTGTAGAAACTGTAGATACTCGGATGCATGAGTTATGTTATTTTCTTTCCAGTACTTTTACACCCATGTTTCAGCACTTATCAGATATTTACTTAAATGTTTTCTAAATAACTCCTATTTTTAAATTGAGTTCATCTCCTAAGTGTATAGGATGGGGTTATTACTAAGGCAAAATGCAGCTGAAAGGAAAATCCACTACTGACTTTTGTGAAGGAAAAGTCTGAATGAATGGAAATTAATTCCATTTCTTGTTTGATTTTATTTTTCATGTACCATAAACCATTTAGCAGAGACAGAAGTTATACTTAAAATATAACTCTTATCCTGTTCTTTTTAACAGTAAATGGGAACGTTTTCACAATAACAACATGAAATATTCTAGATAATTCTGTGTTACCTGCAACTAAAAGCCTATTCAATATTGAAGGTGTTCAGCTGTTAACATTTGAAGCCTAGGTCTTATTATTTAAATCTTTCTCTTATGAATGTACACTTGAATTCATAGATGGAGGTAGTGTGTTTAAAACTGCCTTCCCTCCCATGCCCTTTCTTGGCTGCAGAATGTTGAAATAGCTACTGCATGCTGCTTTCTGTTATTAGGAGAGCATGTGAGCACTTAGCTCTGCAGCTTGGAAGGGTATTCATAAACATGCTACAGTTAAAGTGCTCATTGGTTGCTCTAAATGACATGTTTACTCTTTTGACTTACACTGTGTGCCTTGTCCAAGTTAAGAACTGTTACAAAAGGGAATTGACTGTCTAGTACAAGCAGCTTTGAAATGCAGCAGGGTTAGAGGTTTAAATCACTACTGTTTGAGTTAACTTTTGTCCTTTATCATGCTTTTGAATTGTTGCTTTGGGGGCCTGTCCATACTACTCAATTCACTGCCACTTCAGAGAAATGGGGGTTTGCAGTACACCAGCTTATGTGGTGCTGAGTGTTGTGCTGCTCAGCCATGCTGGTTCAGCTCTAGCAGCAGTGCAGCTGTGACAGCTCTGAGCTTTAGCCTAAGTTCAACTCCTCTCTGGCAAAACAGAAGCCAGTTACTTCTAGTTCAGGACTGCTTCTGTAGATTTAGCTCAGGGATTTCTGCACCACCTTGCAATGCAGGGGTGGGTTAGAGTTTCCACTAATTCAGAGTGAAGCCAGATCTACCAGTTGCACTGGTACTTGTGCAGCTGTCTGGAACTCTCCTTCTCTAAAGTTGAATGCTAATTTTGGAATCTGTCTCCTTTCAGTTTTTCTTACAAGTGCACTTTGCTGATAAACGCACAGCCTTTTATCTGCTGAGCAACATAGTACTACTAACACAGTCCTGAAGAGTTGGAAGTCCAGAGGCTGCTCTGCCTGATAGGAAAAGCTACCATAAGTATAGCTGAAGTTTTGATCTCCAAGTCTTGCCACTCAAGATTTGGATTTGCTTTTAGCGTATGTAATGAAGCAGCAATGGCAACAAAGAGGAGGCTGAAAGGAGCCAAAGGGGGAAGGAAGAATGAAGGTCAAAGATGAAGGCTTTTTGTACTGAATCAGTGAATGCCTTCATGCTGTCAAATTTGTATTCTGTTAGATTGCTATGCATGTTCTAAATATTGGATGAGACCCTGGCTCCATTTTTCTGCTTCCCCTCCCACTGCTGTTACAGGTTATCTGTTACGTGGCTTGCACGTGCATCCACGGTAAGCATGGAGTCTGGAATTAAATAGTTCTGCTCTCTGCTTCCTCCTCTGTCCTACAGGTCAATTAAAGGCCTACAACTAAGGTTTAATTTTTAACTTCTGTGAGCTGGTTTCTTCCAGTTCAATACAGTGTGACACCAGAATCTCAACTTAAGAATTTGTTGCCCTCCTTTACCCCAAAAATACAAAACCATGGAGTTAAGGCTGTATGTATATATACACCTTGCTTCTCTGCCTGGAAAATGCAATGTGCAGAGAAAATTGGAACTTTTTTTTGAACTCTTAAATAATCCTGGAATGACAGTGTGTTATCTTCAAGAAACACTATTTTTTGAAAAAATTTCTATCAGAATATATTTGTTTCCTCATGCAGTGATGCTTTTTATTTTTTTAGTGTAGACTTAAATGTATCAGCTTTTGTAGGAAGGTTAGATTTCAGCTCTCTTTGCATGTTATTGGAAGATAATTGTATCGAATGCGCAAAATTGGTTGAGAAATAAATCTGAAAGCCCATGTTTCTTTGTCGTGTCATCTTTGCAGTCTGATGAGCTGTACGTGAATGGGATTTGTTTTTCACATAGATTTTTGTGTCTACAGATGTAAACCTAGCAAGAAGGGTATTCCAAGAGAAAAAATTGTCAAGATTGTTAAAGCATCCCTATGTAAGACTACTTGTATTACAGTATTTGGGCATCTTTTGCTATAGTCTTGAAATACACAAAATTTTTGTAGCTTTCCTTGTGACAAATACTTAAATGGGAAGCTAGGTGTATAAGATGGTCCTGTGCCCCAGCAAAAAACAAAAGCTTTGTTTCTCACTGCCTGTCTCAGGGCTTTGAGGGCTTTGCTTTCCTAAGAAGCAGTAGAATCCAAAGTTTGGTTTCTATTATCACTGTCTTGGTGTAAATTTTATTAAGCCGTTTGTTCATATCAGGCTCCAAAGTTTCACTTATCTCTCAGTTTTTCATTTTGGAATTTGTTTTCATGCCAGCTCTCTATGACAGGTAAGATCCCACTTTCTGAGGTGGAGGTGCATGAGACAGACTTCACTTTCACATCCTCCTTCTTTGCCATGGCATTTGACTCTCTGCCCCAGATGTTCCTATAGACAGAAACTACTGGAACACAAGCATACATCTACCAGGCAAATGGCATGCAATCAAAAAACAGCAATGGCTGTTTAAGAGTAGGAAAAAAAAAAAAATTTATGTGGTTGCAAAGGGACTGAAAAGCTAATGAGGAGAGGGAGAGAAAAATGGAAAAACAGAGATTTAGCTTTGCCTGTTGAGCAGAATTTATGAAAGCTAAAGGAAGGACCTCAGGTATTCTGTGACTAGTTCCAGGGTCACAGGACCTGGCTTTCCTGAAACAAAGGGAATGAACTGAGTACATCAGAAGGGCTTTTTTTTTTGTTTCTTTTTTCTTATTTTTTAAAAATCTCTTGAGATAAAAAAAAATTGAAAACAGGAAACAGAGGAGATGTGGCCAAATGTTCTGGAACAGTACATTCTCTCTTGTCCATTTGAAAGTACATAATCCATGAAAGCATAAACCTTTGAAACAGAATAATACGATCAGACATTAGTCTTGCTCTGTGGAAGTGATAAAACTAAGCCTTGAATGTTTTCATTGTGCTATCTGCTCCATTTTTCCATTTGTTTTCCCATATATCGTTCTTCAGTGCTGACTATAATTTTCTAACCTGCACATCAGTTGGCCTTCCTGTTCCTCCATTTCCTTGAGAAGCCCAAGGGTGGCAGATGCTTCTGCTACACAAGACAGTGGGGGGTTTTCTTCTCCAGTCTCCGGTGGGCTGAGTGTTTGGGTGACAGCAGCCAAGTAGAAATGGAAATAGAGGTGCTCAGGCCAAGGCAAGCAGGAGGGAGATGTGCTGGGCTGGGTTGCAATCACGTTTGGAGCAGCACTGCTAGAAAATATCTGGAAGAACGCCTCCAGGGAAGTCCCACTGCAGCCTGAGGGTTCTGCACAGATCATAGCCAGTGGTGCTGGCCTCTGCAACTTGCTGGCTTTTGCCTTGATGGATTTCAGGCAGGATGGGCTACTGAGTTTGGGAGGTGACCCAGCAGTCCTGTGGTGTTGGCCTGTCTGCCAGGGCACTAGGACTTCCCAAACTTTCTGTAGCTTTTGGGTCTCTGTTTCTGTTTAACCCCAACACAGCAGCACAACTTCTCCCCATCCCTGCTTTGCTAATGCATCAGAAGGATTGAGAAAAGAGTTCAGCAAGGGTAATGTGAGTGTTTACCACAGAAAATTTCAAGTCATCTGAAACATTACATTATTGAAGAGTCACAATGACAAGACAAAACACTGTTGTAAAGCACCAAGATCTGGTTTAGTCGACTGATTTTCAAAGTCCTTACTTAGGTTTTTAACCAATGTGCTGCTGCTCTGATAACCGCAGTTCATACAACTTGCACTCATTATTTGTTGTTGACTTTCATAAAGCTTTTCCATATTCAATCACAACACCACAGTCAGAAAAAGTTGTTGATAATAATACATCAGTTTTCTTCCTTTTTATCTCCTACTTATCTGCAGTTTCTTAGGAGGATGTTCTAATCAGGTTTCCCTTGTCATGCATGGCTGTTGTTACTTACTTTGTTAAAAAATTCTTGAAAGGACATTGTTTATTAATATCCTACTTCTTGCATGAGGTTCATAACATCTTTTCCACACTTGACCCAGTTTGTAAAGGCAGGCTGTATGTCTTTGGAGTCTGTATCTTGGATTACAAGAAAAAAATTAATTAGAATATGGCCTTTGTCTGAGATGAGAACTGACACGCTTTTATTAAAATCTGTAATCCATCACATTGAAGATTACAGAAGATTTTTTTATGATTCTTATTTTTTTTTTCTAGAACCAATACGTGTGAGTAAAGAGATTATCCTAAGCACTTATGTTTTAAATAACTTGTCAGCACGCTAAGATGATGAGTGCGATTACAAACATCCCTGGAAGAAACCTTGAACAACAGCTGATTCCTTGGATTAACATTTTAAAATGTCTGCAAAACAGTTTAGGTTGAAAGGAACAGTTATATCAAGATGGGATTTGAGAAAGGAGGATTCCTTTTGTGGCTCTTGGTCCTTATAGGCTTGAAAACTGTAATACAATTTAGTGGCCAAAAAACTCCCTTGTATGTGCAACTATAGGCAATTGTAAATACATGAATAGAGGATACCAAAAGAAAAAGCACAAAGTTGCATGAGGCTCCAGGCTGGTTTTCTTACAGGAGGCCGGAGAACTAGCAGATGCACACTGCAGTTTCTTATGCTGTGTGCTAATATGGCGAAGAGCAGAAGTAGAAGGTAAGAAGATTATGGACTATGATTTGGAAATGACCATAAGATCACAATTAACCTCTTTCCTACATGCACCCCAGGAGGCTAAGAAAGGAGTGTCTGAGTGCATGCTCTGTTTTTGGGATGAAAGAGGGGAATTTTATAGCACAGCTGTCCTCCTTAACCTAGATGCGAAAATTCAGGGTTCCACACAACGCGAGTACTTGAAAGGAAGTAGCAAGCAGCCCTCAGGCCACCTGGGAAGTGAACATATTGCTTCACTCGAAGTGCAGTGTGATGCACCTCTCTGCTATCAACTTCCTGCCTGAATGCTGTGAGGGGAAGCGTACGTGGGATCCTGCAGTGCTCGAGCAATGTGTGTTTTTTAGGACAGTGAGGGGGTGCTGTACCTTTGTAGCTCTTACCACCTGCAAAATAAAACAAACGTCATGCCAAAAAAGAGGGAAAAAACAATAAATCCTATGTCTCAAGGGGGTTTAACCTGGTTAAGGGATACGTTGTAAGGCACAACTCTCCCATGCCGCAGTGCAGACTGTTTAGTGTGTGTGGTAGACTGTGAGGCACAGGTTGGAATATTTATATTTATTTTTGCAATACCATAGGTAAAAACAATTTAACAATGCCAAGTACTGGTGTTATTCTCATAAAAACTTCTCATTTCAAAACAAATGATTTCTATTCCTCACAAAAGGTTAAAATCACATGCAGCTATATGAAGGTTAATTGCTTAATATGCACAATTATATATCAGAAGACTTTGTTAAAATAAAAACATACTGGACTACATCATTTTAACAAGGCAATTACACAGAACTAGAAAACTGACTCTGTAGTAAAATATAAAAATCTACAATTATAAATATAAATTTGGTCCATGGAATCACTATAGAAGTAGCAGTATTTACAGTAAGTATCAGATTACTATGCTAAATGTCTAATTGAAGTCTTAAAATGGGGCATGTTATGGAGAGCAGTATTTTATTTACATTCTACTATATTAAAAGTTGTATTTCTAGCAAATGCAGATTGTTATAAATACAGCAAATAAATCAAATACTAAAACCATGACATTTGTTTGTAATTGAGAAACCCCTAATACCTATAAATATGATAATTTTAAGTTAAAAGTAAAGCCAGATAAATCAAAAACTAATACTGAAAAAACGTACCACAATTCAATTCTTAGAAACACTGTAAAAGTCAATCAAGTTAGTCCAGACAGAACAATGTATTACAAGAAATCGTTCAAGAAAAGGCACACATTGTTAATGATAAAAGTTCCTCGGTAAAGTCATATGTCACAGAAATGACTTTGGTGGAACAAGAGTTGGGGATTGATTATGTAGAGAGGAACTGGACAGATTTCCCCCCACTGAGTATAAAACTGAAAAGAATAATGGTAAACTCCAGATGTGATTGATGTGGTGCAAGTGTTTGTGTGTTCAATTTGCTTTGTTACTTAAACTAAAGATTCTAAACTTTCAGCTGCATTTCCATCTGGCAAAGCTGAGCCATTACTGTCCATAGATGCTGAAGGGTTTTCCTCTTGCCTTGTGCTGACAAGGCTGAGAATCGCTTTGTACAGAAACTGGTACTGTTCCTGGGGAAGAAAAGAGGGTACATTCAGTGTGTTTTTGTAAATAATAGACTATAATACTTGTAATGCTATTATTTGACAAGTAGTTAGTAATGTTAATATATATAATTGTTATATATGTATTTATATGTATATAAATGTTAATATAATTAATGTTAGTAATTAACAGCGAATGTGTCAGCCTGTTAACGTGGTGTCCTCCACCTTTTGATGTACTGCTTTGCTGCTTTATTCATTTTCAGACTAGTGGCTCCTCCTGCACACAGTGTGGACCACAACATTAAGGAAAGCAGTACAGGTGGGGAAAAAAAACAAACAACAACAATGCATTTTTAAGGTAACATTCTGTGCTAAATATGATCCTTGTAAAGTCTGTTGCAAAGTTCCCACAGATTGAATGGAGGCAGGGTTATGGCTACTACTGAGCCATTGGCTTTCTTTTAATCCTTGATTGTGAAACCAGGTTAACTACCTCAGGGTCTGCCTGGAGTAGGAACGTATTCCTTGTTGGAGTGAACCCATTATTTACATGATACAGTGCAGATTTAAATATGATGGTGGCAGCTCTATATATTTTGAATAAGTCCACTTGATAACCACATAATATTTAACAGGAAATACCCTGTTTCAGAATAAGCATCAGGTCCACTACGCACCTCTGGAAGACATTTTTGATTAACCTATGCAGAAACAAACACACCAGTGGTGCAGTAATGTTGCCCTAGGACCTAAGCACGCTAACAGCACCACACACCCTACAAGAACTTTGCACGTATTTTGGTTATTACTTACAATGTCTGTAAAGACTCCAGGCCTCATCAAATTTATCATCTTTGCTACGTGGTAAACATCCACTGAGTTCTCATTTTCCAGTTGATGCATGAGTGTTGTCAAAGCACAGAAAGTGCCTGCTGTCACCCCTCCGTGCCTTTGCAAAGTAACAAACAAAACACAAAATCAGGTTTCCATAGCTAAAGGAAATGCCACAGTTAGGTGATGAATTTTTGTGCTGCTGACATTTTTCTGAACTGGGACGGCGCACAACTTCATAGCTTTGGGCTATGACTGCTGGAAAGTCTTCAGGAGACAGATCCAGCTGTATTTTCCCACTGTATTTACCTCTTCTAAGCAAATACTGAAGGCCTCTGGGCCTGGTTACATTTCAGTATTTACAGCCAACATTCAGCATCTGGAGGGGAGTAAGGTGCCTCGTCTCAATACTCTTACTTCTGTCAGTAACACAGAATGAAACCCTGACTGATTTTCTCCACAGGTGCCCAACTCACTCAGCAACTATCTGCAGTATCATAATGATAGAACTGAAATGAGATCATTCAGAGTGTGACAAAAGCAAAGTTTTTCTCTTGTGGGTGCAGCTGACATAGAAAAACAGCACTACTGGTAGGGGTAGGCTTTGTGCCTTATTTCAGTGGCTTCACTCTAAATGAGAAGAAAGAATGGCTTTACACAAAAACAAAACAAACTGAAAGCCACAGTGCTTACTCATCATGTACAATCATGGGTCCATCACGGTTGGACGTCTCCTCTTTGATGATGCTGATCAGTTCAAAGGTTTTGCTAATAGGACTATCAGGATTTGGCCATTTTGGACACTGAAAATGCCTCACTTCGAGTACATAGTCATCCTACAAGAGTGAAAAAAGCACAAATCAGTTGGTGAAAGATAGTTTTCTTATTCTTGCCTCTATTCCAGTCTGGCTCATGACTCCACATACAGAATCCCACCACTATGGTGGTGCCCTATTCAATGTCACCAAATTACCTGCAGAGTTTGCTCACTCCATGGATTTTTCCAAGCCATGGAATTTTAGCACTCATTTACCAAAAGAAAATGTCACAAAATATAGGCATTACCTTTTATCAAACCAAATCCCGAGAGTTACAATTTTACGGCAGTGTTACCTGTGTAGCTTCTAAAATAAAGTCTTGGATTATGAGCTTTTCCTCATTAGACAGACACTTGTGTTCTTCAGCAATCATAGTAACTTTGAAAGTCTCACAGTTTATAGGCTCGTCTTTGTTTGGCCAGTACACAAATTCATCTTCAGCCTCAAGGAAAAGAATAAAAAGAAAGGAAATGATTAAATGATTCTTGAAATGATGACTTCCTCATCTCAACTATGATTTGCTGAGATAAGGATGTCTAGATTTGGATTTTGCGCTCAGTACAATATTACTACTTTTAAAATTGGATTTTACAAAATCCAAGATATTGTCTTATAACTCGCATATTTAAAAATGTTAAAATTACTAAAATTCATATGTAAAACCACAGCCATCGGCCATCAATCTTACCATATTCTGGCTATCAGGGAGCATGACTATTAGCTGGGCATTATGGTCCCATATCATTCTCCAGAAATCCTTGATAGTGTGTAGCAAGGGATGCTGGGTAATAATGAATTCATTGCTTTGATAGTAGCCCTGAAATACAAAACCATAGGAGTCAGAATTGACACTCAACTCTTAACACTTAAAGGAAGGTTTTTTTCTGGATAGAAATAGAAGTCTAGAAAATAAATTCTAGAGATGTGCTTCCTTTGGATTCCAACAAATATCAGAAGAAAAAAACTTTCATCACAGCATTTTCCATGTGAAAAGATTAAAATCAATTACACTGAAATGATTTAAAATCAATTACACTGAAATGATTTATAAAACTGAATAATTTAAATAAGAAAATAGAATAATTTAAATAAGAAAATAGAA